CTCCTTCAAAAGTTCGCCACTGATAATCATACAAAATAAAGATAAACTACCGATGTTGACCGCTTCAACGGTTGTTCACTCATTCCGATGCGTTTGTGACGTACTCAAAGTCGCTCGTACGGCACCGCAGTTATCTTTCCTCATGAAAGAATGCCATCCCCACTGGCTGGGTCAAGGTGGTTCCTGATCTATCACAAGTACGATTCACGCTCACTTGTTAAACACTGACCATCGGATTGACCCGAGTGAAGCACTCCACATTATATATCAGGTTCCCTCGAACCGGTACAAATATTAGAATGCTTACGTTGGCCGTAGCCGAAACCGTATGTATTAAACATTTGAACCCCGAACTATGTGCCCAGAAACGTCTTATCCAAGCAGTTCATCTCCCCCGAAGGGTTCGCGAACCCACCCATCCCCTTGCTCGCACACACAAACATTTTCACACAACGTCAATCCCTCAGAACTGGGTCACACGAACAACATAACATAACTGAAAACCCTGGAAGCACAGATCGGAGAATGCGGTGTGCAACACACACACACACACACACACACAAACACAGACACGCATAGACGAAGTGAACGATTCCTCAGATTTTATTGCTCTCCTCGTAATCCCCAGGTTTTTCCCTCTCATACAAACCGAAATAGTAAGATTAGGAGTGATTGAAAATAATCGATCGCCTTAATTGTGTTCTGAAATACAAGTGTAGTGATAAAATAAAATGACAAGGTCGAAAAATGCCTTTCAAAGTGACTGTCTAAATACCTGCTACCATAATCTGTGACAATGATGGGTTTCGGACCGAAAACCTTAAGGGATAAAATCTTTGTGATGATAACTTCAATCACTCGGTCACGACCGCGCACAGATCCAATAGTGGAAATTCTATCAGCCATTTACCTAGTCATATTACTGCTAATCTGTAATAATCGAAACAAACGCAAATCTGGATTCAAGCTGGTAGCCATCTGTCGAAAGCTACCTCTGTATCGAGATGCAGAAAGAAGGCCAGAGTGACAGAGGTCGGTATATTGGAGGAAATTAATTCCAATAAACAATATTTTCTAAAGAATATATATTTAGCTAAACAGGCAATAAACAGTCGCGGTTCACATCCTCTTCATCATAGAACTTCTGTTTGAGTAGCATGATTGTGATTGGTAGGGCCTGCAGGTCTCTGATTCATTATCATGAGACGGTCAAACCTAGCTACTGCATTGGCGTTATCTGTAAATTTTGGATCATATCATAATCCAACGCAAACAATCACCAGTTTTGTTGAGGACTCTTGCGCTTCACCTTCGTACCTTCACTACACCGTGGTCTTAATTTCTGTTCCTTTATGCTGAAATTTCCCCATATTGTAAAATCGTAGACTGCTACCACGTTACCCATTGGATAGGTGAACGGCAACCACAGTCGACTCGACCAGCCTCTCAACTCCCAGAAAATCGTTGGTTCGCCCTCCCAAGATCCCGTTAGCCTACTCCAAACTAGGTTTAATTATGTAGATAACCTTTCTCGTGATCTGAGAATCCAAATTAGAATTGGTTGATCTAAACTGTACGATTCTCCGGCCCAATCAAACTATTCTGCATCACACAGTTCGAGCTAAACTCAGAGTGCAACAATTTGGTTCTATTGACCGCATGGGAATATGCAAATGGGATATCGATAAGTTGCTTATCTCTCTTTCAATTAACATTTACGCAAACATGGTCTTCAACAGCGCACGTTTTTTACATTGCACTCCGGATGTTACATAAAATGTATTCGATTTGGAGTTATTTAAAAAGCCGCCGTCTGAATGTTGAGCGATCACCCAAAGTGCACTCAATAGACTTACAACTGCTGTTACCCCATTCGGTATATGCCTTGCACCTTCAAACGAGTAAAGTGATGCTGAATATTGGGTGTCACCTAGACCCGATTTGAAATTAAATGACCAGGAATTAGTTACAGCGGATTGCTCTTCCCACTTATGTATTTCAGTGGATAATGACGGTAGAGTCCGCATTTCCAAGGCTCGAGCAGCACACACAAGACTGAAACACCTTTGGTATAGACTCAACGTTTCACTGAAGTTGAAAGGTTGTGTATAGTATGCTACCGTTCGTTCAGTTCCGCCTTATGGTTGTGAGACCTTGAATTTGCGAGTAGAAGATATCCATAAACTGTAAGTTTTCGATTTGCGGTGTTTACGTAGTTTAGCTCATTTGGGATGGTGCTCATGGGTGAGTAATCTGGAGGTAAGCCGTCGTGTGTTAGGGAGTTCATCCGGAAAATATGTGCTAGCTCATCGAATTCAGATCTACAGGCTTTGCTGGCTAGGACAGGTATAGCGTATACCCAGGTGTCGTCTGCTGCAAAGCTCTTTATTCGCTGTAGCCGCCCCGAGCAGGAAACCACGTGGAGGTCAACAAATAACGTGGAGACGAGATATGCAGAAATATACAGAATGATTACATAGCGTAGGTATCTCCTGTCTTGCAGGTTGGGGTCCGAAAGATTCTACCATTGGGTGGTTGAAGATGTTGAAGGATATGGCAACGAACCGACAGCAGTGGCGTTCTTGTTGTCATTTCTTATCTTTCCAGATAAGTATGCACAGTTAGTTTGTGTACTCTGCGCGTTGATCAAAGGGAATCACTTTCTTCCCCTATGTTGAAATAATTCCAATCTCTATCCACCTTCCATATTGACCCCAACCTTGTATGCACTGCGAGTTTTACAGCGATCAGTGAATTCCGATTCACTGAGTTTCGCCGTACGAAGCAGCGGTTATCTCTATGAAGAAAACAAGCTATCTACATATTAATGTGTGATAGAAAAACCTCTAACCCTCCAACCGAATGCTGTGGATCGGAGGGGCACAATACTTTCTCAACTTATCCATGCAACTAATAATTATATCATTGAATATAGGTTTATACCTCTTTACGTATGTTCTCATGTCGTGTCCAGTATATTCAAGAATAGAACAAGGAGTGGCCCAACAAGCTCGTTTTCAGTGATTCGTAGTCATGCCAAATACATCACTATAAATATCACGCTGTTTATATATGAATCAGTATCCAATCATAAAAAACGTTAAAAAATGTTTCAGGAAAAGGAAAATAACCTCATGGATTATCACTGAAAAAGAAGCTTGGTCGCCACTCCTTGTTCTATTTGAAAATGTGCTCCGTGGGACTGTTTAGACAATATTGAAGAATCTATTCGATTTGTTTTGTTGTTTTATTATTGACAAGCTAAATTTTGTTGAATTCAATCGCACTGAAGTTTCAATAATATCTTTTTACTACAAAGTCAATATTGATCGTTATTCCAAAAAGTAGCATTTCATGCATTGGATTTCTTTTCAGAATAACTTTAACCGATCGGTTTCGACTGATGTGGAGCAATGCCACATCGACCCGTGCAATTGGCACTTTTCACCAAGCAGTGAACCACGATTATCATCTTGTCCGGCATTGCCTTTGATGGAAATCTGAGGTGAGATTTTTGATTGTCCTTCAAATTAGCTTCAAACATTCTCCATCAATCAGAAAACTATGCAGATTTATGTAGACTCACTTGTGCAATTTCCCGATCCACTTCGGCATGGTGTTTGAGGCTCCGGGCTAGATAATCTATCGGGTCAGAGGGGCGCTTGATTACCAGTTCCGTCATGTAAGTGCGTAAGACATCACCCAAATGTGCGATCAGATATCGTGTTTCCAAACCATATCCGTCCGTGCCGTCTTCGGAAGCGCTGCCGACAGTTTTCAAGGAAAATCATTCATTGAGAGATCACTGGATTAATGTGCATTTTGAGGTAGACTACTCACGAGTAGGCATAATCAAAATGTCTTTTTATTTTCCAAATAGTGGGCAACGGCGATTTGCATCAATCGCATGGCAGTAAATGCATTCGGAATCTCACTTCGATCAATGATGAAACGTCTAGAATATAATTTCCAAGCTCGATAAACAACTGAATATCATGCTATATTATACCCGAGCTACGAAGACAACAAACAACATCGTTGTTTACCAGACTATCACATTTAGATGATATCAAAACCGAAAGAAGACATTTCTGGCGAGATAATATCATTTCGTTTAATCTTCTCAATCTTTCGACATAAAGCAAATAAGCAAATTTATAGCACATTAGATTTACAAATCCTACTAGATGAATGTATACGGATAGATTGGGGCTATCAGAAATCTAAAAAAAAACAAGAGGTAAACTCCACGTCAGGGGAACTGATTTCATCAACAGCTTTGGGAGCACAGAACGGAATGATGTAACCAGATTAAAAGATAGAATAGATTTGAATCAGATACGAAGTGTAAGTTGCGTCATCGACTTCACCAACCACTTTGGAATGTATTCGGCCATCCGTTGTGATACATGACGGTTGGTTCTGCCTATGCGTCATTGCAACCGCAAGTAAACTGGTATGCAGCGAGTATAAGACAGAACTGGCTTGATAATCAATCGCCACGCTTGCCCAACTCAACTATGTGGGCAGAATCCATAATTCGAAGCTAAACAATCGACAATATGTGGTTCAACTTTTGGAGCACGACACTTGGAAGGTGATAACCTCTGAAGAATTAAGCTTGATACACACACAGCTTTTCTGGGCTCATTTGGAGATGAATTACCTTTTTGAGATCGTTTACAATGAATATCAACGAATCCTTTTGAGTGACCGTTTTGTAGTAATTTTTTAGGAAACCTTTTTCTTCGTGTAGAGTTTGGGGTACAAATGTGTTGATTGTGATGAATTAGAGTCTTTACAGCTCTCGTTTGTAAGCCACGTGTGGAAATCCGGAGAACCGCAAGTACTGACAGCTCCATATCACTTTTTCATAAATGGATGCCGTAATGTATCATCTCAGCGCCTCAAAATTCTGATGTCTCGAAATGATTGAGAATCGCATCTTGCCTTTTCAATCGGCCACAGATAAACTGATGTGGGTGCACAGATTTAAAATGCTTTTAAGATAAATTCAAAGTGTCCACGTCCCGTAGGAATGAAAATTTCTTCCACATATCATTTGAAAAAGGCGGACTTGAAAATCAGTCCGTCTTCTTTCAATCAGCCCTAAAATGGCATATACTAGAATTGGGTCCAGTGAGATGCTCCATAGCTACGCCATCAGTCGGCTTGTGTAGGAGGGCTTATTCAAACTCGAAACGAATATTTTCAGTCCGTTTAGAAAAATTAGTTCTACAAATATTCAAGGGACAGAAGATTCCCATAGGAATATCAAAAAAAGACAAACGATATAGCGAAAAAACACATTTTCTTAACTTCGTGTTTGGGCATTCACATTTGTGTGTGTGTTTATATGTAAGTTAGAAATCAATGTGATTGGTTCAATTTAAATGGGAACATAAAATATTAGCTGTCAAGTTCTACAGGGGCGTATGAAGAAAGAAGAAGAGAAGGATAAAGGTCAATTTCGTAAATTTCAGATGACCTTTCGTTCAAATGCCATATGCCACACCATGTTGCGTCACCACATCGTGATTGTGTGCTCATGGTTCAGTTAGTCACGTCGGTTAAGCCCGACCATAGGAACCAGAGTGAAGTAAATATTTTCTTCTGCTGACACAGTGATAGGTTCCGGATTTTAATTGCTCCCGCCTCTACCGTTGTCAGGTGACGTTGCTGAACGTACTTCGACTTGTTTTCTGTGACTTAAGTAAATGCGTTGTTGCCCATTGTCAGCGAGGTGAGTGAACCACAATAG